TGGTATACTGCATGTATTTGAATCCTGAATTTTCCAGCTTTTTTCACTTCCATCAAACATGATATAGTAAAATGTCCCTTCTTCACATAAATTTGAAGTGCCTTTATACATTAAGGCTTTCTCTGGTGATAAAGCAACAGTACCATAAAAATATATTTTAAGATTATCACATAAAATGTCAACCTTTCAACCACATATTTTCCCTTTGTGCCACCTGCGTGTTACATATTCCAACAAAAATGTTCATCTGATTTTATTGTTCTTTGGCTTCAAATTTCAGGAAAAGTATATATTTCTCAAAAACACCATGCCATAGTATGTTGACAAAGATATGTCACTTCTTGCTTTGCTATTCTGCTCATTAAAAAAAGTTGGTTTTATAATTAGTTAGCCCACTCTCTCATCTTGGAGGTTGAATACTTGAGTCTGTTCTGTGAGTAAACTAGACCACAGACTGGACAAGTTGACCACAAAACAGTTTTTAGAGTGTGAAACAGTTGCCTCATGTCTAATGATAGGGCTGACCTACATTTAGCTTATGCATGTGCTTCTGGAAGCAGAAAAATACTGCTTAAAAATTAATAAACAATGGGTTCCTGGAATAATTACACTTCCAAGAAATTCTGACATGCAAATTGACAGGAAGATAGTAATGAGAGATCTCATTTGGTATAATCAGTAAATTATACATTATCAAGTAACTTTTTCAAACAGCCATTAATATCCATAGCTGTGATTCTTGCTACCAGACTAATTGTTTTCTTTTTTAATCACTTGAGTCACCTGGAGACAGATTCCACTTGCTCTTCTCAGAATATCAAAGAAAAATGGTTGGAGAACCGGAAAAAGAATTGGAAGCATCCTCAGCATTTTTAAAAACTTACTCTTCACTAATGACTCTATTGGTTGAGTGGAAGAGTCATGTTTGCGTTCCTGTTCAGACATGACCACGGGTTTATGAGTTCTTACCCTAGTACCTCAGGGAGTTCCTGAAAGATGTTGGTTACAAATAAAACAATTCAATAAGGACCATATTTTAAACTACCCTCCCTCCTAACCTTCCCAAGACATGATGAATATACAGCATTTGAAGTGTAAATTCTTAATATGTTGCTCAGAAGTCTCATTGACCTTAATTACTTGTTCCTTTTTTAAAAAACTTTTTAGACTTTCATGAATTCTATTACCCAATCTACATGTATTTACAAGTGTTTGGTGGGTTGGCTGCATAGAGTTAATTTTAAGGATTGGGGAAAAGTCCATTTCCCACTTTCCACTGGTGTATAAACCATATGTGCGTCTCTTTCCAGGCTTAAGCAAACAAGACTTCAGAAAGTCACCCACGTCTCTGGCAACTATCTGACTCATAGGGTCAGAGATAAATGTGAGTAGTCAAGAAAGAATACCATTCTTCCTCACCTCATTAAAAGAGACCAAATATGTATAAGAAAGGGTACCCAATTTTGACACTTACCTTTTAAGACATACTAGAATGATTGTCCACAGTAACAGGACAACCCTACGCATTGGTAGGTCATTGCCAGCATCTTGATTTGAACCCAGAAACTGGCACATGTAGCTGCTTGCATCTCTTTATTTTGTACCAGTTCTGACAGTAGCGTTCTAGAGTTCCTCAGAAAGTAGCCCCTTATAGAGAGCACATTAAATCAGTTCAGGTGATCAGGGCATGAGTACAGCCTGCCAATCAAGGACCTGGCCAATTAGTGCACAGCTCTCTAAGGCCCTCCTAGTCACAACTGCCACTGCTCATGAAGTTGAGCCCAGAATGCATGTACTGTTGAGGGATTTTGGAGTAAGGTGTTACGAAAAGAACTTGATTTTTCTTTCCAGTTTATATAGGCTCTTGCTAACTTTTCCCATGCTTTGCATAGAATGCACTCTTGGCAAAGCCACTAGCAGAGATAAGACTAAAGTACCCAGATTTCCGAATTCACTGCTGAAAAGTTGGGATTCTCACTTGGCCTCATAATCTATTGTAGCTCAAAGTTCTAATGCTGGCAAGCTTCAAATCCAAAGTGTTACCCTTTGATCCATATTGGTTGATACCCCATTTGAAGGGAAGTCAGGATGATAATCATTAGTAGTTCTTTTACAAGATCTTTATACAGCATCTTGGATCTGACCAAGAAATTGGGAAAACAACGAAGAATATTTAGGCAGTCACAGAACTACCCTGCCATTGTAATGTGATAGGGGATATTTGCTTTATTCTCTTGTATTTTCCAGCTTGTTTTATGATATTGTCCATCCTCTCTGCTCAGAGTATGGATGGTTTTTTTTCTGGAAAAAGATGCTTGAATTGTGCCATTTGGAAAACTGGCCCAAATATTCAATTTCCATTCATTCCTTCTCCCAGAAACACCTAAGTTGAACTTAATAATATAGCCTTTCTTCAAAAGAAAGCACTCGGGAGCTAGCTTGGTGTAGTGGTTAAAGTGCCAAGCTAGAAGCTAGGAGTCCTGTTCTAGTCCTGTCATAGGCACAAGGCCAAATGGGTGACTTTTGGCCAGTCCCTCTCTCAGCCTTAGGAAGAAGGCAATGGCAAAACCACTTCTGAAAATCCTGAAACTAGTTCAGGCAGTCACCAGGAATCAAAGAAACAGAAAAAAACTATTTTTTTGGCTCCTCCAAATTACACTAGTCACTAGTGTATGCTCTAACTCAAAGGAACAAAGTTATTGAGCAGCCCATTTTTCCCCCACTGCTGTAAAATAAAGTCTTTGGATAATGCTATAATTGCCATCCATTCTGGAAGGCAGTACCATTTCTGGATCTCTATGATTTTTACTTTAATATATTGCCTGGATTAAGTGGTAGGGACAACTACACTTACTCTTCTTGTTCAGCAGTGAGTTGAGGTACTGAGCAGCTTCCTACTCATTTCAGCTGCAGCTGGTAAAGATTTGTTTCTGATCTAGATCACTGGAAGAGATGGCCACCAAGCCCTAAACCTCTGCTCAGGACAGCACCAGATCCAGTCCAATTCTACCCAACGCCAGATCCCGAATGAAATCAAGGGAAACAGGCATCTGTTCTTCTATACTTTAGCACATGACTTTAACACTATATTGTTGCAAATGTTTTTATCATTAAATATAACCAAGATAGACTATTACGACTTTCACAGACTTTGATACAAGATTTTTCAAGCTATTTTTAAAGCATTCATAAAGATTACAATAGTCTTTAAAATGGAGAGTATCCTTGCAAAACTTCAGATGGACGTAGTTTTTTTTTTTTCTTCAGTGAAGAAACGCAAGTAGTGAATGCTTAAAGTGGAAGTATAAGGAATTAATTTATTGGTACACCTATTCATAGCAATTGAATGAATTCGTAAATCTGACCAACTACCAGAACTCACAAAACATAGCTAAAAGAGCTCAGAGTAGGTAGAGCACACATTTAAATGACACTCCAGACCAAGACTGACTGTCAATCCCAAGATGCAATGACTGGAGAACCAATGTTTTAATCATGGGGATCATTGATTTGAGAGTACAACTCTTGAGTGTAATTTAGGAAAGTCAGCCCTGGAACAGCTATGCCAAGATTCAGAATCAAAATGAAGCAAGCTCAAACCATTTGCTCCATCCTGCATTAACAAAAATCTGCTTCAAATTCCCTTGCTGCATCTTGCAATATTTTAGTCAGATAAACATCAGTGTTGGTAAAAAATATTAAAATACAACAAAATCAATGCAATAGCTCTTTATATAACTAGCAGGATTGTCTTCAGTGTTTAAAAGACAAAACTGAAGTATCTTATTTTTATCTGCCTGGTGTAAGCATGAAAGAACAAGAAACACAGTAGCTATCAACTATACCTCTGGAAATCTCATGAATGCTATTAACCGCTACTGCTCAGTTCTGATTCCTTGTATTTTCCTGCATTGACTTTTCCAGTTGAGGCTTCTCCATTGGAGGCTCCAATTTATAATGTGGCTATTACACTGTTCAAGAATGATTTGGAAGTGCTTTGGATTGTGCACAAAGCATGGTCCCTTTCAACACAAGAGCCCATTTCATTTCAGACTTCTAATTGAGCCTGATTGGAGTCCTAACCATTTAGATTATGAAACTTTTAAAAGTAGCTACCGTTAAGGCAGGTATTTTTTTATGAAGAGCAAAAAATGTGCAACAGTATTTACATGAAATCCAAAGATATTTCTTCCAATAATTTTCAAAGCTCACAATCTTATTTCCTAATGTTCAAAGCCCACAGTCTTACTTGGGGTATTTTCCATCCAGTTTTCCTAATACTTGGTATGCAGGGACCTTCCCCACCAAACAATGTTTTAACGCTTCTTGTCCACAAGCAGACATGAGGTGGGGAACCTGGGAGGAATACTTCATTTATGACTAACCATATCGGCGATTAAAGATGTCTAGCTAATTTAAAAATGCTGTTAACAGCTGTGGATATGATACAGCTGCCTAACTGTAAATATGAATAGAATTTTGTATTATAGAATTTGTAACCATGCAGGAATGCTCTGACAAAGGGAGTTGAAAAGGACAACGCTGTATTTTAATTTCCAGGCCTTTGCATTAACACTACAATAATTCCTTTCCTAACAGGCAAGAGATTAGAAATATGTTAACCCTCAGCAAGAAACCCTAGCCATGATGGGAAATCATGTAGCTATAGGTCTTATACTTTTAGTCCTCAAAAAGATTTGTGCTATTGCATAGTAACTTTAAGACACTTGTGGCACGTTAAAAATGGTTATCAAGATTGGAGGATGAAACTATTTACTCCTGAGATAAAGTCTAAAGTTGATGCAATCTGAGCCATATTGCAAAAAAAATAAAATGGTGATTTAAAGCACCTCCCCTATTATCCATGTCCGCGTTTAGGATAAGGTGCTAACTGCATGTTTGAAAACAGCAAGTATTCTATTCCAAATCAAAGTAGTTTGATGAGCAGCTGGTAATGCTGCAACCCTCCCGAAGTAAAATAAAGTCAAGGATCCAGTATATATTCTTAAATATGGTTTAATACTCTTCTCCATTTCTGTACATCACAACACCAAGATATCACTGCTTGGGAGCTCTCTGAAGAGGCTACGTAGTATGCAAAAGGCTAGGATTCGCATCCTTTTAATGTGTTTGTGTTAAGTGTAATACATATTAGTATATATTGATATATACATCAATATATAATGCAATATATACCACCAGAGATCACACATTGATTAAAGAGATACAAAATTTTGGCATCATTTCCAAACTTAAATAGTAAAAATAAAACTACAAAAAAAAAAAAAAAAAGGAGCTGCATACCCTAAATGTGAAACAAGCAGTATATTCAAAACTGTAAATTTACACCCAATTTTTCTGCTCTTGTCATGTCATAGCAGACCCATTTACAATGGCAAAATCAAAGTATGCTGCTTTGAAGAGCTTAAGGATGCTTGTGATCACAATTTCAGCAAATCAGTCTGAATATTCATAATCATGAAGAGCTTCCCTAACAGATTCCACCCAATGTGAAAACTTCCTGTGGGCAAACACATGTATTGCCTGCTTGCCAAGTTATAAAAAGATACAAATTCTATTGCTCACATTGACAAGAGTGTCATTTTGGACCTTTTAAAGTATATACTGTGATGAGAAGGCTTAGTTAAGACAACTCTCCCTTCAATTCAAGTGAGGCAGGATTTGGAACGATATACAATGTTTGCAGGTTGGGAGTCTTTGACCAACACAAGAAAGATAAGGAAAATGAGAACAGAGCCAGGCATTAAAAAAAATATCAGAGTACCTTTTGAAAATCAGCCAGTCCTAAAGGAATGCAGGGAAGTGAGCTAACTGCCTTGCATGAACTATGCCATAGTGTTGAATGTGAATCTTTGGTGCCTAATTTCTTTAAAAAAAAAAAAGTTTCTTATTTCTACAGAAGCTCCATAACCACCAGTTCCAAGGCTTATGTCGGTCACATTTTGCTAGATAATTGCATTTTAAAGCAGTTTGTGAATGTTGGCTGTTGATTCACCAAGGCAGCTTACGCAGTCCCAAAGCAAAACATTGAAAAAAAAAAAACTCTAGTAAAGTACAGAACCAAGCGTAAGCAGTATTAGCTTGCTTGTGGAAACTGTTTATTGACTGACAAAAGGGAAAAGTGAAGGCCACACAACTCATAATCCCGGTTAAGCCTGCTGAGACCCTGGCACTTCAATTTTCTTCAACGAAACACACTTCCTGATTTATACAAACAGTATTTTTGCAGTCTAAGAATGAACTAGGTGGACCTCTCAAATTTTAAAGTCACACCTTTCAAAGCTGGCACAGCAGTTTAATTCCTTTTACTTCCACCACTGTAGACTGGGAACAAGAGGAACAAGGTCTCCCTAAGATGGTTCTTCTGCAGTCTAAGCCAAGAACGCCATGTAAATGGGTCGTAAAACTGCAAAAAGCAGCAATAAATTTCCTCCTATCAAAGTAAGAAACAAACCAGTATAATTACTTTGTTTCAAATGAAGGTTGAGAGCAGTTAATATAGCTGAAGGTTAAAAAAATCATTTTCATAAAATACAAGAGCAACCAATTTCACCATTAAGTAAAAGTAAAAACTGGGATTTTTTTTTTAATTAGTCCAAATGGCATTATAGAAATCTAGTAGAGTGCTGCTGTACTGACACTATGACAAATCAGTAGGGTTTGCTTTCTTTCTCTTTCTTTTTTTGAAACCCGATGTTCTGGATAAAGTTCTGGAAATACTCCAATTCTAAGGCAGGGATCTGTTTTGTTTTCCATCATGAGTTTTCTCCTTGGGTTGGATGCTGGAGGGGTGAGGCACATTTGCCAGACCCAGGCCGACTACCTAGTAGTCATCAAGGTCAAAAAAATCATCATCTCCTCCTTGGTATTCCATTCCCTGGAAGTCCACTCGGTACCGCAAGATACCTTTGAAAATAAATGTTAAAGGGAAGATATTACAAATACTTCCTATTTACGAAGGACATTCAACACAAAACCTGCTTTCTGGTACCAAAGTACTGAACTAGGCTATATTTCCTTCCCACTAGTGTTGAACATTTTTATTCACATTAGAACACGCTGTTTTAAAACTTATATAGAGAAAATCTCAAATTTAAATTGTTGGCTTCAAACAAGTTTGAATTCATGTTAGAGCAGTGCCGCTAATCTGATCTCTCAAAATCTGTTGATTTGCAGCACATGATAACATTTCAGTTTTGACCAAATTTCTCATCCACTTTTATAAATCCATTATGTTTTTAAAAATTCAACAGTATATCCGCAAACTTTACTACATCAGAGAAAACTGCTGAAATAAGCAGTTCATTATGATGGGGTGGAACTGACAAAGAATGTCTAATTTGAGACAGGAAAGCAAGAAATCACAGGGCAAAATACTTTTGAATTGAAGTAGAGACTAGTATCTGGGTTCCAATCTGACTAGCATATATTTGTCCAAAAAAGCAGAATACGTAACAATTGTCATAAAAGTAGCAAATTATTGAAAGCATTTTTAAATTCTTATTGCAATCTTACTGTAAACAAATAGTGTGCCAACTAATGTGCTGTGAAATTATCTATTTTAATTATTATTATTCCCAGAGATATCCACACACATTTTCACATCTCTCTTTACAGACAAGGAAACATTTGCATTTTTCTTCAATCCACCAACAATGTCTAACCATCATCCCAAATTCAGAGAAAATCTGGCATCTACAGTGCATAATGGAACAAGGATAGCATTGTCATAATCAGTAAGGGCAGATAACGTGGCAATCTTCATCCTGGTTAAAGCAGCAGGGTTATGCTAAATAAAAACAGTCTAATTCATATATAAAGGTAAGTTTATAAATCACAATATTGTTTTCATATCAGAATACACATGCATTCACCATACACGTGTCTCACTAATGCCAGCCATCACACCATTTTTTTTAGTATAGGTAGTCCTCAACTTACAACAATTCTTTTAGTGACTGTTCAAAGTTACAACAGCACTGAAAAAAGTGACTTGTAACCCTTTTCACACTTATGACTGTTGTAGCAACCCCATGGTCACATGATCAAAATTCCGATGCTTGGCAATTGATGGTTGCAATGTCCCAGGGTCATGTGACCACCATTTATGACCTTCTGTCAAGCAAAGTCAACGGGAAAACAAGACTCACTTCACAACTATATTACCAACTTAACCAGTGATTAACAACTGTCACAAGAAAGGTCATACAAATGGGGCAAAACTGTCTCACTTGGCAACATAAATTTTGGGCTCAATTGTGATCATAAATCAAGGACTAACTGTATATTGTTAATGTATTTTGCTCAATCTCCTTATCACATTGATCAGCGCACCTTAATATCAACCAGAGATGCTTTCTTTAATGACAAAGGCAGCATTTGCATCTTATCTCTTCCAGCAATCAGCAATAGCTATGCTTACTGCAGTGCAAATCTCATTAAGTTCAATAAATGTACTTCCAAGCAAATATTGTCAAGGAAGCCTGCCAGCTATCCAGATGTACAGGAAGCCTAAATTATCTAACAAAATTATTGGAATAATTATGGAACTATTATAAACATATTCTCCATGTGGTAATTTGCTTCAAATTCTTATTGCGCTGTTTACACTAGGCATCATCTTTAATCACTACATAAAGCAAGGACATTCCTGAAAAAGCTGGGAGTCACATAACACCAGTTTTTCTTCCTCTTATGGACAAGCACATTTGTGAGCAGTAATCCTCTAAGAGGTCAAAGCATGTCAATGCAACTTGCAGCAATCAAAAAGACGGCATAAAGCATCCCCTGAAAATAAATTTCAAGTTATTTATTATGTTGTATATTTATATATTGTAACCATCTGCCAAGTGAGGAAATATTCATAGAACTGTAAATTCTATCAGTGTAAAATACAAGAAATGCCAAAATAAATCATTTGCTGAAATAATATTTCACAGGATTTTTGCTTTCTCCATTGAAATTGTGTGAGATTGACAATCTTGACAACTGGGACACAACAGTGAAGGGCACATAGTAAAAATGCACTCTGTTGTTTTCATTTTCCACTTACCTCCAATCCCTCCAAATCCTTTCACAAACTGGGATCCTTCCTGTGACTTGTCTGTCACAATTTCCAATGTGGCTCCAAATTTCTTGTAGTTGTTTGCAAACCACTCAAGCAGAGGCATGCTTTCTATGAGTTCGTGCTCCTGTCCCGTCTAAAAGAGATGACATTTGAAGTGTACCTGTTAGCAATGTTACGTTTCAAATCAGTAGGCAACGTACTATCAGTATTTACATCATTAGACACAGAGCATTGTGTTGCCAAAATAAAGAAGCATGCCATAAAAAATAACCAGAATAATGCCTTTCATTCACTTTCCATGGTATAAACCTAGCATCATCACACCAAAATAAATTGTTAGCAAGTGTATGTTATTTATCTGGTTGTTATATGAATATCTCCATATCAGGGCCTCATTCAGGATATTACTTATCCCCTTTAGAATCCTAAATTGTCTGGAACAATAGGATTTAAAAACCATCACCTTTGCAGATTTATCTGATTGCTAATTCCACTGTGCCCTATTATTGTCAAAGGAGAAAGACCAAAAGAACAAAAAATGGTATTTTGCTGATTATTGGGAACCTAAAGCCAATTCCCTTCTCTTATTGTCTCCTTAACTTGAGAAACTTTTTAAATAAATCTAGATGACTTTTTGTTGCCAACACAAAAGACTTCATAATCTCTATTGTAAGAACTTTCCGGTTTTTCTCCTGGGATTCTGCAAAACCCTTAAATCCAGCAGCATCTACTAAAAGTTATGTCAAAGCCAGGGTTTCATAAAAGATAATAGCAAAGACATAATAATTCTTAAAGGCATAGAAATAGAAATAAAGCTGTTACAGCTGTCGATCTGGTGCTTTCGGGTGGCAATTTTCTAAAGCAATTCATTCCAAGGGCATTGCTTCATGTCCTTGCTCTTGCCTACTAAGGCAAGGAGGAACAACACAGGAGCCTCCACTGTTTCATACCACTGGAGGGATCACATGACAGCATGACGATTAGAAACCATGTGCTTGGGCAAGAGTGTTTCCAGTCCTATCCTGAAGACTGGATTGAAGAAATGCAGGTAACTATTTTTTATTCATTTATTTAATTTCCATAGCCACCATCTCAATGACGCTAGATGGCTTATTAATACAATTAATTCAAGTATCTAGGAAAGAGGATTGGTACTGCCTTAATTTCCATTCCGGCACAAACTCAAAGGACTTAGAATACAATTATATGAACTATCCCATACTCTTCTCTTGTGATTTAACTGGGATGTCTCCATTGAAATGATCATTAAAATGCCTCAGGTGGGGAAAAAAATAAACCACAGCTTTTGATAAATACCTCTTTATCTGTGAAGTGGGATTTATCTTTTTCTTGTTCTGGTGTCAAATAAAGAATCTTCTCTTCTGCAGCAGGGGGGAAAAAGCATAATATGCATTAATAGCACAATTTCCTAAAGTGAAATCAGACACAAAATATTACCAATTAATAGTAATTAAAGAATCTATTCTTTTTGGAGAACAGTTGTGGTCCTTCATCACATCTGACATTCTTCTTTGACAAAAAGATATTAAAATATTGTTTGTTAAGAAAGAAGATAAAGGAGAAAATTACCAGCTGTCCTCTTAAAGAAAGCATTCAGCTTTGCTTTCATCAGTTTAAGAGAAACCAATGTATTTGTAAAAAAATAGACAGTGATATCCTTTTATTTTTTTAGAAGGAAAAGCAGAACATTACTACTGACTAAATTGTAGTCAAAATTCCATTTTTTTTGCATATTCAAGAAGAAACTGCAACCCAGTAGATGATATGAAATATTTTAGAAGAGATCGTTATGAAAATGCGGACGGATGTCACACATTATACTAGTACATGGCATAAGCATGAGGAAAAGCACTGAAATAAGAAAGCAGACAAAGTGAAACTACTGGATGACCATGGAGGGGTCCCACAATAAAAAACATGAACAGGGTAATTTCGAGAACTTTTTTCTTCCTACCACATTATTTTTTTTACTGGAAAAGAGTCTTTTCTTTTCTAGATCTAATACAGATGAAGGCAAATATTAATTGTCCCTTATACACTCAGGTAGCAGATGCATTTGCATGAATGTAACACAACAGCTGGGAAAAATGAAGCCATAACTATTAGGATAACTGTAGTTATCTCAACCAGACAGGTTCTGATCATAACTGCTGCAAAATCAGAGCCACCTGCATGGATCATATCCAATGAGTACACATACAAATAGTCCTTGACTACCTGTTTAGTGATCGTTCAGGTTACAACAGCACTGAAAAAAGTGAACTTATGATTGTTTTTCACACTTGTGACTGTTTTAGATCCCCATGATCACATGATCAAAATCTGAATGCTTGGCAACTGATTCATATGCATGACAGTTGTAGTGTCCTGGGGTGATGTGATCCCCTTTGTGACCTTCTGACAAGCAAAGTCAACGGAGAAGCCAGATTCACTTAACAATTATGTTACTAACTTAACAACTGCTGTGCAGTGATTCACAAGAAAAAATGGGGCAAAACTCACTTAGCAACTGTTTTGCTTAACAATAGAAATTTGGGGCTGAATTATGGTTTTAAGTCGAAGACTACCCATACAAGTAAATTCAAACACAAGCACCTATTAAGAATGTTTGTGCATGTTTGTTATCACTTTACCAAAAGGATTTTCTAAAAACAATGTATCTATTACCTTTAATAATATTTATTTTATTAATAATAGTACATTTTTTGAGACACTGCTATTTAGGTATGTATTTGTAAAACTAATGTCACAAGAATTATTTCTGTCACAATCTATGGATTTCCATTAATGAAAGTAGCAAGAATGCAAACATTTACAGTGACCTAAAACGGACATACATATAATTATTCCTGAAATCTTAAAAGCAAAGCGATAGGTATCACATACCTTCTGTGCCTTGGCAATGAAGTACATATCTCATTATATCCAGGTTCTCATAAACTATCAGGATTTCTACTGCTCCCATTTCTAAGGCTTTTAGAGTATCTTCGACCCCAAAACAATATTTTCCTGTGTCCTGACTGATTTCATCAAAGTATCGGCCTATGTTTAGTACAAACCAGATAGAGAGAGAGAGAGAGGTTGTAAAATATTATTTTAACTCAGTGCACAAAATAAATTAATTTGGCCAAGAAGGCCACATTACTGTGACAGATAGTGGCAAATATGTTTAGGAGATAATGACAAATATGTTTATCAGATCAAAAAAAAAAATGAGGATGACTATAGGGCCAAATACTTTTTACAATTTCTTCTTTTGGGTAGGCGGGCATGATTATGGGAAGTTAAAGGGTATTCTTTCATATTTCAGTCCAGTTTCAGAAACACTGGTGTCTCTTATAGATACTTTGGATTGAAGCAATTCACTCTTCTGGTGATCTTTGATAGCGCTAACCATAGAAACTTTCTGGACTATCTAAAAGAACTGGGGACTAGAAGTAGTGTCCCACACAGTTGTAGGGAAGAAAAGTCAGTGAGATGTAAGGTCAATAAGAACTGCTGTGCTTGCCCTTTGCTTCTTAATGTGCACATGAGGTCACTGGGTAAGGTCATCCATCTGTCTGGAGCAGGGGTGGACAATTAATTTCCTCAAAGGGCCGTATGGGAGTGGGACTGTAATAAAGGGTTGAACCAATAGGGCTGCAAAGTTACTTAGCCATGCATACATACCACACATAAATTGAAAAACAAAATAACAGTCACCTTCAAAATAAAAATGTGATTGTATTGTGTGCACGGCATACATTTATTTACGTTTTGGATTTTGTTACATTTGTGTTATACTTTGGGTCATCACATTACTATTGCGATGATTTGATTAGTATTGGCATTCACCCCCAACATCTTTGTTCCAGGCACTATTTTAGCTTCCTATCTGCTTCTGAGTACAATTCAAAATGCTGGTTGTCATCTATGTTCTATATGGCTTAGCAATAAGGCTACTCAATGGGATTTCATCCATCTCATTTTCAGAAAACAGGGGCCACTTTTCAGTATTAGCACCTACTCATTAATATCTTTCCCTCAAAAATCAGATGTGTTCTATTTTAACTTTTGAAAATCAAGTTACTTTATTATATATGCTTCATTACTTTCTACCGTCTCATAATTGCAGCATGTATAAATTTGGTAAAACACACATTTATGTGTACTGTTTGAACTAACGGTTCTGATACATGATTTGAAAAACCCAGATGGGGAAACAAACTCCTATTTTGTGACCACCAATGTTTTGCATAGAGTTCTGACTCAGTGGCAAGTTACATAGTCACCACTCATATAGTCACCAACACAGGAGCAATAGCATTTTCTTCTGGTAAGCTCAAGGAATAAGAAGCACCAACACAAAAAACCAATATGTATATGTAACAGATGTTATAATTTGATCAAATATTACATTGTGCTAAAAATATTTTTAATTCAGAATTTTTGTATCTGTAACTAACACCAAAAAATGTTGGCTGGAAAGCTGTTACAACTAAACCTTAAGGACAAGATGGATACTAGATCTTTATTTTCTTTTACTTGCATAACTTGTGATAATTTTTGTATATTTGACAATGCATTTATGCAATGAATGTGTATTTCTTCATACCTATTAGCTTTTTTTCTTGAATGAATTTCACATTAGACAGGACCTCAGTGGACAATTCAATTGCTTGATTGAATCCATTTTCACCACCATATGAGATGTCAACTAGCTTTAATACTTTGGATTGCAACCTCTGCAAAAACAGAGGTTTAATATGAGAAAAGTCAAATAAATGAGCAATTAAAAATATAAAAGTATTACCCAACAATATGAAATAAAGAATAACGAGCATTAACTTAAAAAAAAATTCCAATCTCCAAACCATTTCATAATTATATCACTGCAATGCTTAAATGTGAAGTATTGTACAAAAGATGTGCAGCATTTCATGAACTAAATTATATTTAAAACATTGCATTTATCATCTGTTAGTGATTTTATTACTTAGTGATTATAATTTTCCTTGATTGTCATGAGCCACTCAGAACTGTTACTATTATTATTAAAAATGAAAAACCCCTATGAGGCACTATAACTTTGATGTGATTGTGTGCTTATGCGCTCTGAAGGTGATGACAGCTATGCCAGATATTAATAACAACATATTGACAGCTTACATCCTGCAATGATAACTTTAACATCATCAAACCTTTGCCTATCCCAGGTTCTTGGGAAGGACTTGATAGGTAGATGGAAATGCCAAATCCAATCTAAACATATGGCTGACTAAGCATAAAAACATAACAATTCCAATGGGCAAGACTTTAAAATTTGTAAGCCCTTTTCCTTTAGTGTTCTCAATGTTATTGGTTTTCTATTTTATAAATATACCTCCAAGATCCACATATTTCAGTTGCTATTAACAGCTTACTATTGGAAATAGATGTATCCTAGTAAGCATACAACTATCATTAAGATAATGCATTAATAACTGCTAGTAAAATTAACAACCATCAGTAAATTACTTCTACTTACCTGATCGAACATATCTGATTGACTTAATTCAGTTTTGAAATCAGCTGACCCTGCTAACACAAGACCAGCCACGTTCACCTTGTCACCAGAAATAAACAGCTGCACAGCAGTTTCTGCTACTTTCCTTACATAGTTGTGACGTTTTTCCATTCTCAAACGAGCAAAACGCAAGGCAGACTGGCCTCCTCTCCCTTTGAAAGGCAAGAGATACAAATATATAACATTAGCGCTGTTATCTTTCAACATTCAAATTGGAACAGCCTTGAATGGTCTGGTCAGGGTTTTATGACTATCATGACAAATTTGGGTCTATCTCAAATGTCACCTGCCCATGGCATGTAGAAAGTCATGCAATATGTTAACAAAAGTTCAATGTCAAGCTTACTTTGTGGCAGTGATGGAATACCAACCCAAAACAAATTTTCTCTATCACTGTGTCCTATCAATGTCACTCAGCAGAACTTTCTTATATAATTCAGGAACGTTTAGGATCTGCCCAAACTAGAAATCATTCAGAATCCTGTAGCTCTTTTCTGTAAGTCTTAACTAGACTTTGTACTAAATCAATCAGACAATAACTTAAGAATCTACATGTTCAACAGTTCAATCTACAGAAATGAAAAGGCTGTCTGGTCAAGATTTGGGGGTTTGGGAAGGACAGCTTCACTTTTCAAGGCCTGGTGATGCAGGTAAGATGCCTGGTAGTGTCAAACAGCTATATGCAATAATTACTTGCTTCTTTTTCCTCACAGATTATTTTATTTAATGTTCAGCTGAATTTAGGAGATTTATAAATTCCTCCATATGAATAGAAGTGACTCCAGCTTCATAAAAGGGGGTTGCAATTAGGCCCGTCCTGGAAAAATTGATTCAGAAAATTTAATTATAGGCCATTTCTGGACAAGATGATTAAGTACATGATGACTGATCACATCCAAATATCCTATGAAACATTTTCTAGACCCATTTCAATCAGGGTTTAAGCTTATTTTGGTGGCAAAACAGTTATAATTGTCCTGTTGGTTTTATATTTGCTGGGACAGTACAACTCTATGGCTTCCCTGAAACTCTTGATGAATTTTAATACCACCAACCTTGCTGATCAACATTTATGTAAAAATACCAATACAATTAGGAATGTACTGAATAAGGATCAATGTACCAAGTGCCATCAAAACAAGTCAGAAGTGCTGTTGGTGGCTAATTTATTTGCCAAGTAAGGGGAAATCAAATTCTTCATGTGGCTACATCCTCTAAAGGATCAAGTTCTTAGTTAAGTAGGAGAGTTTCTGGATTCATCTTTTACATTAAAAGCTCAAATAGCACAAAGCATTTTTCATGAGGTCAAGCTAAGTATCAGTTCACCTCTACTGTACTTAAGAGATAGCTTTCTACATTGTACCACACACTAGCAACTTCACATTTAGATTATTGTAATAAAAAGTAGGGTAGCCCTTGGACAGTTCAATTAGTGCAAAACAGTGTGGCAGTTTGCGTTCTCTATTCAAACTAGTCATGTAAGGTCAACTTGGAAGTGGCAAGCAGCAACCCAGTAGTGGGGGTTTTCAATGTTGGAATGCCCTCAGTGAAATATCCCTGGGGTTTGTCCTTATGGTTAAAGTGCCTTTGTTTTGTTTTATATTGTGTATTTTCGTATTGTTTTTATAAAATATCTTAATGTTTCAAATTCAATTAATACATTGTTTTAAAATGCCATTTTAACTGTAATCCGTTTAGATTTATTTTATCTAGGAGTACATAAATATTTTCAATGAGATAGATAGCAAGTAAGCAAATCTGAAACATCTATTTCCATACATATAGTTTCTGTTTTAATGAATGATTCAGATGCAACTGGAGTATTGTCTGGAACCATTTCATGAAAGTAAGCATACTCAGTGATTACTTTGTCAGCTGCACAGAATATCAATTATGTTAATTTGATCTTTGTCTTAACTTTAGCCTCCAGATTACCATACTGGAATTTACCCAAACACATTGAGAAAAACAAACTATTCAGAACACAGCCGCTCAGATATCACTGAATTGCTTTCAAGTCTTACTCCCCCAAAATTATTCTTTCTAAAAAACACATCATTCTGTCTTATTTTTAATACAATACCGTGCTTCTTTGGAAGATCCACTGTGAATTTGTGCAGCACCTCTCTGGTATTTCCTTGAAGCGTCCCAAAAAGTGCACCACTACCATCTATTACAATGAAACCGAATTTGCTATCATCTGACAATAGTGCTGTAAGAGCCTAAAAGTCAACATGACAGAAGTTGAGTTTGAATAAGCTGATGTGCAACAAATCAAGCGAGATATTTTCCTGAAGGAATGTTTTTATCTATAAACTTACTTTGGGAGTATACTTTTATGCTCATAATTACTCCAAACTCTTTAAACTAACAAATTCATTAGATTCATTTGAGCAGTTTAAGCTACTATCATTCTACCCTTTTCACTTAAATAAAAAACACAAGTGATATTCAAATACAATTCATACATCATTTTGTCAACAAGAGATACTCCAAGATGAATGAAGCTCAAAATCAAATTTGACTAAATAATATCAATAAAGTGCCAATCTTAAAATAATGCCAAAATGGGTATATAAAGTACACCCCCAAATGAACTTGTGCACTGTATAATTTCTGGCTCACATTGTTTACCAAGATAAAAGCTGTTAGTGATTTCTACCAGACTCAGTAAGAAGAGTATGCAAGCGTCACATAAGTACCTGATATACAAAATGAAGGTAACACACTGCAAGGCTAATTCTGCTGACTTCCAGCAGTTTGATCCTGACCTGCTCAAGGTTGACTCAGCGTTCCATCCTTCCAAGGTCAGTAAAATGAGACCAAGATTGTTGGGGGCAATAGACTGACTCTGTAAACCATCTACAGAAGGCTATAAAGCACTGTGAAGTGGTATATAAGTCTAAGTGCTACTGCTATTAGCAAATCCACAATCTGAATTCTAAATTTCACTAAGAGTCCATTTAAACCACTTGGGTGATATGTGATTATGTAATGCTTTGCAAAACAAAATGCAGTGCAATTTAGTTCTCAGATTATGTTCACATGTTCTAAATTTTTCTTGTCTCCCATCTCCTTGAAAAATGCAATTGTCAACATATTTTCATCTGGAAGTTGTGGAAATAATGTTCAGGAAAATAGTCATGTTCTCATACATTACTAGACTTCCCAGTGCTCAGTAGCTTTTCTTGCTATTAAATAAACAGTAAATTGTATAGTTCACTTTTGAGAAAAATAAAAAGTTAATTTACCTCTGTATGAAATTTATTATCACACAAATACAATGATGTATTTATTGGTTTAAAAGGTTCAAAATCAATGTTCACTTTCTTCTCTTTTCCTTCTTCTGTCACAATTGTTCCACAGTAAACAACCAGACCATTTGGAGGTACTGTAAAAAAAAAAGATATAATCTTAAGTACTGATGAAGCTTGAATCATTTTATCTATAATGGGATTAAGCAGGATATTTTACCTTTGTTATATAGTTTTAGCCGTTGCTGTACAGAAGTAATGGCGCCAAGGACTGAAAGACGATTCACTCGAGACTTAATATTTGATGCTGTGCCAAACTCATCAGCTAACATTTTTGCCACTCGGGAAATCTGGTCTTTGGGGGGAATGATCAAGGATATCATGCTGGTGCCATTGCTAAAATAAACAAAGAAACAAGGATAGATTCAAACAAGAACGTAAATATTTAAGGGATAAGATTTCCATACTAAAAATGTGGACAAGATGGGCAGCCATATAAATTACCTAAATAAATAAATAGTGGATAGGGTAATAGTTATACAGTATTCATTACATATAACAAAACATGTTGTGTATGCTATGTCAGCATATATATTGCTATAATTGCTCAGCACAATGAAATTGTGGGTACTGAAATGGTTTCAAGTTCTGTCAAAGCCATCAGTAAATGTTAAAAAGAAACCCCACATCCTTTTAGTTCTAGCAAGTATGTAAACTTGTTCCATTTCAACCAGAAATTATTAACAAATAAATCCTCAGAACAAGGTAAATCTTACCCTTATGAAGATAACTCTCATGCACTAGCATAGAGAAAGCTCATGCAAATATACAACATTGCAAAGGTACAATGGTTTGTGCCCATAATAACATTTGACATGATACTGCAATGGAGGATTTTCATTTTGGCATATTTGATACGGTTAAAGAAATAATGGTTGCACGCCCTTTAAAACTTGTTCTTACATACTATGGAAACATCTCCCTATTCTTTTTTAAAATATAGTCTATTTAATAAATGTCCAGTTTTTGCATCTACCCGAATGACACTTAAAGGCAATTAACAAATTACTCATCATACTGAAATTTTTCAATTGTAAGGTGTGTGTGTGCGCGCGTGCACACGTGCTCTCTCTCTCTCTCTCTCTCTCTCTCACACACACACACAGAGTGTTTGGATCATCAACTAATTTAATTCTCCAGGAGTATGCAAACATATTTTTTAAAATAATACTTTAAATTCCTTGTACCAGTGTTTAGCATTTAGCTGTCAGGAGGTCAAACACGAGCAGTATCTCTTAATTTAATATAATTCTCTCTACAGAAAACAGTAAAGGTAAAATTAGTGTGGCAAAAATATGCTTTGATGGAAATCCACTAGCAGTTCCACCTCTAAATGTCACAGAAACCTTCCACAACCAGTGTAAATTTTTGTCATATTGACCTTGCCAATGTCATCTTGAAGCACTCAGCTACCTATAGAGGTAGTAACAGTGTCCCTAAGCAATAAATTCCACCTTCTGCAAATGGGTAAAAGACCATGTTTTTAAAGCAAAATGTAGTACTACTGGAGCAGTATTTCCTATTTGCCAAAACCTTTAATAAAGTGCCTTTGGTTTGATGCTCAAATCTACACAACACAACTTAACAACACAAATAGATCTTAGATACAGGCAGACAATTAAATTGTATAAGGAAGATATATGGAAATGATCTGCTGCAAACTATAGAAATAGTTATATGGATAGATAAAACAGGTTTGAATAGATTTAAACTTAATGGGCTTGTTTAAAATGCCTTCAGATTACGTTCAACTACTGGTGACAAGAATGACCTAAACTTGCAGTTTTCTTGACCAGTACTGAAATTCCGAAATTGTTACTTCTCAATACAGGTCATTGCTTTAGAATTACCAGTGAGTCTCCCACTCCAGTACTACCAGCTGATTCTATTTAACTTCAACATCCAGACAAGGATGGCCAGGTTCTACTGCTAACTTAGGTATTCTAAAATGTTAGCCATTCTTATACAATCCAATGGAGGAAGTTACTCACTCAATATTTCGACTAAGGTGCAACTTGCCTTTCAAGACCATTTCACACAAGACCACTTTACACATTAGTCCATTTCAAAGTTCCTACCGTGTTTTCCTCAAAATAAGACCCGGTCTTATATTTTGGGGGGGCTCCAAAATAAGCACAAGGGCTTATTTTGGAGGGAAATACAATTTCAGGGTGATCAGCCCAGCTGGGGAGCCCCCCCTGCAGCATGTGCTCAAAAAGCAGCCAGCACATGGGGGCCAACATTGCCTGGCAGCAGCTGCAGTCCGCTGGCCCCTTGATGCACTCTGGGGCTGCACAGGAAGCTCATCTTCGCATGGCGGCACCAGCAGCAGAGGCATGGGGGGGGGGGGAGTCAGGCGTTCCTGACGCTCCGCATGGACTAAGACAAACTGAGGGATGTGAAGACGAGCCTCCCACGGCCAGCCTGCTGCTCCATTCCATCTCTTGGCTTGCCTGCTGCCAGCGAGGAGGGTCCAGATTGTGTGCCTCCCACTGCTGCCAGTGCCTGTCATATAAAGACGAGCCTCCTGCAGCCACCCGCTCCAGTCTGTTTCTAAGCTTTCCCGCAGCCTGTCCAGATTGCGTGCCTCCCTCCACCTCTGCCTGCTGCTTGCCCAGGTAATCAACTCACCTGTGCTGTGCAGGCTGCAACTGCTGCCAATCACCGCATACTCACCACATCTGATGCTAGCCACGCCCAACCCCTTTACTAGGGCTTATTTTCAGGAAAGGTCTTATTTCGGGAAAACATGGTAGAATAGTAATAATTAAGCTGCTCAGTTTCTTATATTATATAAACTGTATTTAGATTAAAAGAACAAAGCTGTATGAATCATAAAAGATGAAATGTGACTGTGCAACACGCATAAAAGTCAATCAAATTAGAGTATAATAATCAAATCAGAGTTTCATACAGCTCCTTTGCAGAACATACTCCTGCCATCTGCTGGCTAAATTAGTAAGATCTATAGTTAGGAGAAACTGCAAGATCAAGATCTCTATCTTAATTAAGATTCAGATTAACTTTCAGGATTCAGTAGTGTCACTTCACAAAAAAACTGATCTCCAAAACTTCCAATTATTCAGAAGATTTTGACTCCTTAATGGGTTTCAGTAATAAAACACTGCACTGAGGAACAGAGTTAAGAGTATTTTATCTGTCTACAATGAAGATGAAATAGTTAAAGAAATTTAAAATAACAGCTTCTATGGAATAGTACCTGTACATTTTAAGGCAAAAATGTGAACACTTTGTGTTGGACTTACACTATGAACAGAATTTTCCAATCCCTTAATCAACAGCAATTAGAAATGATAATTAGGACAAGACTAACTAGAATATTTTATTATCAATCAGTAGCTAACTCACTCTCTTGAATTGCAAAATATAAATTATGTGTAAGTACTACTTTTCTAAAGAAGCAATTACAAGCAATTAAAACATTTAATAAAATGGTAAATTTGAACCTATTTGAATCCATACTCTTTCACAGAAGCATACTAATATTTCAATAAAATATATTTATTCAGTTCCTAAAAGATCAGTCAATTAGGTCAGTAGTTGTTCTCTCACTTCATGCAAGCTACACTATTAAGTATCAACAATTAGAAGGCAAAGATAAAGCCTCTAGAGTACAAGACTGTTTTCATTTACTATAGTTACTTGTCCACTATAGCATCTCTCCAATTATAGAAACCTGCTGTTGGATTTTTGCAGTTCACTTTGAGATTTAAGTTAGGGTTTGTTAACTGGTGAATTTAACCTCATATAACCTTTGCAGCCATTCTGTTCTCTGAAGTTTAATTTGGGAGTTAGAATGTTTTGCAATAACAACTATTTTAGAAGGGGGGCCTTGGTACTCTCAGAGCTTGCTTGTTTTCTTACAGATGTTTCATTACCCAAATTAGGTAGCATCATCACATCTTCCAAATGTGGCTCTTCATGGACTGAGTTGATGGGTATCATACCCGATCATGGTACTGGGCTTGTATTGCCATTTCAGGCAGCTATGGAGTCACATCTACCTCAGGATGGGAGGTCAGCGTGTTCAACCTACTTTGAGCAAGCACACAGGCTAAAACTCCAGGACTAGCATGATACCACTGAGGGAAAGTTATCCTAGAGAAAAGATAAAACTAGGCAAAAGCAATTTGATCTTAGCCAGGACTGGCTGGGTGATACTAAGGAGAGTGTTGTTGCAAGCCATTCCAGTGAGTATAATGATGGCCACAGGCCTAGGAGCAAGTTTTGACAGCAAGTCACACCTGTACATACAGAGCTACATAACCATGAGAGATCAGACCTGTTCTGCCTCAGCAGAATCTGATAGTTTTGTGCTTAGTTCCAGCTAAAGCATACTGCCCTAATTGCTCAAATTACTAATTATTACATCTGCTAAATCCTGCTCCTTCAAGCGTTCATGATGTTGATATGCTGGTCTAAGTTGGCAAAATAAATGAACACATTTTTGTACAGCACCAAAATATTCTATTATAATTATACTACGCCACCTGAAATAACATTCTCTTGTGAAGTGTTTTACTAACTTCTAAAGCAAGCTTTTTTACCATTGGGTCTTGCATCAGAAACAACAAGCGTCTTCCTCAAACGAAAGGAAATTCATTTGTATTGTTTAATGAAACAGATATGATGGACTGATCCTACATTTTTATTTACTTATTTATTAAATTTATATGCTGGCCATCTCACTCTCAAGCAACTCTTGGTAAATGAAAACAGCAGGCATTATTTTATATTTAAGTTCTTTGATAGACTATGAGATACATGGATTAACTAACCCAGAAAACAAATAAGGAACAAAGGCCTAGAGGTGAGTCAGTTAAGTAGCTTTATTTAACTTATATAAATGAGGATGAGACTTAGTATTAACATCTGACAGCCTGTCATATATTCCTTTGCAAAAATACAAGTAGAAAAGACCTTGTCAAGAATTTAAAACGGCTTTTCTTTTTACTGATCCCAGAAAGAAAATGGTGAAATCACCAACAAGTTATTTAGGATAAAGGCTGACATAACAGGACCAGAACAAAATCAGAGAATTAAAGACATCTAAGATACAAAGGGCTTTACTGATAACTGTATGTTATTCACACTAGCAAAAGAAAAAAATCCAATGAAGTTTTATAATAATTAATAATAACAAGTCAAGGCCCAGAAGGACAACCATAAATCAACACCAAGAAAGCATTATATGACAGCATAAATTTAATTGTTTTGGAGGAATGCAGAATATTTTAGAGAAGTTTCTTTGTATTGTTTAGGAATTAGGTTTTAGAGTTGGGATGGATGAGTATTCCTGAGAATTCAAATTAGAT